GTTGAACTATCTTTTTTTTCTTACCTCAACTTCGTCATCATCGCCAGTTTTTATCCTATCCCCTCACATCTTGATTCTTTTTCCCCTTCATCTATAGGTATACGCTTGGACGATAATAACCGGCAAACCAACGGCGCAAATCTTCAATCTCGTCTGGCAAATGGCCGATCTCGAGACGCACGGTACCTTTGCCAGACGGGACAAAAGAAGAAGAGGTCCTTCCGTACATGTCCATAACTATGAATCGTGGAAATTTTCCGCTGGATAAAGACCATATTGTTTGTCCGTATGGAGCTCCTGTTGTGCGTTGTTTTCTTTTTTCTTTATTCATTTTTTTTCGCGCATTTTGCCGTTCCTCGTTTTCCTTCGACTGCGTTCGACATCGTACTCATCGTTTACTCTCCGTTCCGCATTCGAGCAAGAATCTGCTCGAAGAGGAGAGATTTATAAGCGATGACACGTGTAAGTAGTCCATTTGCATCTCGCAAGCCGGTGAGCGTGGCAGCATATCGATTGCGCGTGAATTTTCTTCGATTTTTAAGACGCCAGCGTGCTATTTCATACTGTGACCTTATAGAAAGTTCGCACTGGACAAATTGAGATTCTTCCTGAGCGAATAATACTCAGTATTAGGCAGCTTTCGAAAAGAAAAATTTTGAGAAAAAACGATAGATCTCATGATTTCAAAGTAGAAAGCGTATTTATATTTTTATTCTCCACAGCTTTGACATTTACATGACTCTGTATAAAAAGATATATCATGTTTCAAATAATATATTTCGATTTATCCTGCTAAGAAAAAGTTATCATAAGAAAAAAATAACACGGTGAAGTGTTATTTCATTATTCGGCGAAGGATGCGTTGCTACAAGAGTTTATTTAAACACTCTTTTCGCCCTCACGAATTCCTCTGGTTCTCCGTTTCCAATTTCGCGCATCGTCCTCGACAATATCATCGCAATCGCGTCGCGCCAATATTGCAATCCCTTAGGTTCGAGGAATACAATTTGTGCGATCAATAAGGAAACCGTCAAAGCGGAAGCTTCCCTGCGCTGTGAAGCTGGCTTTAAAACGACAAGGATGTTCCGTGGGAAGAAACAATGTTGTTGGATGGTCTTATCTCTCGCTTTCCGTCTTTCTCGCCTCCCTTTTCTTCCTTCTCAACCTGTTATTCTTTGTCTTCTAAACATACGACGCTGCAGGTAAACGTTGAACCAACATTGTAAATCTCCAGTGTTGTTTGGAAGCCGACTAGATCCTAGAATCCACCTGTATTGTCACGTAAAACGAGAGGAAAAAGATGTTTGAGCGTTTAAAATGTCGGATGTATTGGAACTGTTAGAATATCTAGTGAAATAGATGAAGCTTCGGCGATTTTCTGATGTGCGTTTTTATCGGGTATTCGATAGATTCAAATATTTTGCATAGCACTTTTTTAACATCTTCCCATCTATCTTTCACGATAGATGAATTAATCATAAGTTTTTTTATCATAGTTAAATGTTTTTCAATTGACATTATATCTAACGTTATTATATAACGTTATAAGAGAAAAATTAAATTTTTTATTTAAAGATATATTTGGGAACGCGAAATTAATATTTGATATATGCATTCAAGGAAATAATAGAAATTTTTATATATTGTTCCAATTTTTATGTATTGTGTTTAAAACACAACTTGGAAAACCGTGATTTTATTATTAATGAGTTTATTATGAATGAGTTACTCTCTAAAACTTTTAGAGTGAATTGTTACTCTGAAATGTCATTCAAAGATTAAAAATTGAACCACTTTTTTTCAAGACTGACTTAATTTTCATTCTTTGAGTGACATATCACTCTAAAAAATGTAAAGAATAAATAATTATTATCTTATTAATCATGAAAAATGAACTAACTTGACATTTTATGAAAAATAGTTAAAATCATAATTAAAAAATAATCAACTTTTAAGGATTGTAAAAATAATAAATAGAACAAAGATAATTAACCAACATGTTCACAGGATATGTTCTTTTTGCCGATGTTTAATTCAATGTCAATAATTTTCTGTCAAGTTGGAAAACAGTTTTTTCTGAGCAACTTAATTTCTTGTGTCACAATTGAAGCAAGTGAGCGATACACTTCTATTTGCATTATATCAGGTTGCATTTTATTTTTTGTTCCTTTTTTTATATTCATAGACATGATAAATATGGAACAAAACGAGATCTTTTTTTAATCTTGATCATGTCATCTTATTTGTTGTATGACAATGAAAAGCAATGAAGTAATTTTCATGTTCATTTATAATGTACAATGTTGGGGGAAAAGCAGAAAATGCAATGGTAATGACTTGTCACGAGTTGCGGTTTAAACTCATTGTGCTTCGAAGCCATAAAAATCTTTTTTTTTCCGTGAAAATATTACGACAGCGAGATCAGCTCTCTGAAATGAAATTAGCTTTCCATTTCCAAGTTCTACCGTCAGTTTCCCGCTTGTAGTTCTGGCAGATGTTATCTCAAATTTTAATTGGACTTTATTATCGTCTTAATTATTCGCTGCATTAGTTAGTAAGAAAATAATTTATGTCGCGCTTCGAATGTCAGAATTACTTACTCGGAAAACGATCCCTGTCTGACTTCAGACATTATTCAGACTATCTATTCTCTCTTTCTTTTTCTCTCTCTTTCTTTCTCTAGACATACATTCAGTGATATTTTTTATATAAGAATAATATGATGCAAAATAAATAATAATTTTTCCATTTGATGTACAATTAGTGCATCGTCAATCATTCTACATAAAATATTTGCTTTAATTGCCGGAAGATTACTTATGCTTTTGACATTCCTATAGCATTGGGTATTTACACGCTACATGATCTTTTAAAGCGAAGTAAAATATGGAGCGTATTTTGATATCGTCTTGCATCAAAGCTGCAAATCTAACGTCTCGGAATCGATGAAACGCTTATAAGTTGCGAAGAGAACTAAAAAGATCTTTAAATTCCACGGTGAAAGCGATGTCGTGAAAGCACCGCGCGATATAACAAGTTGCAGTAACCGTTGGTAGCCATGACAAAAAAGAAAAACTTGACATGAAAAAGCTCGTGGTATCCAAATAAAATTGTTCGCCTGTAATCGAGTCCTTGAGAGGAAAAGCTGCGTCGTGGAAAACCTCGAACGCCAATATTCGTCGGTTGTGCATACGTCGCGTTTTCCTTAACAAAACTGCCTACGTAGAAAATCTCCAGAAAGGCATACAGAAAAATATTATATACGATATTATACATACCATGCTTAATTAAGATTAAATCTTTATTTAATCTTAATTTTTAATTAAATTTTTTGATAATAAATTTTCATCTTTCATATTAAAATATCTTAATGGGCTATTATTCTTAAATTTCCAATAATAAATTTTAAATTTGTCGAAGAATTCTCGTTTACATACATGCACTGAGAGAGAAATGATTGCAATTACCATAATTCAACTATAATTTATAATCATATAATTTATAATCATTTTCGAGCAATTATACTGAAAAAAATTCACTAACTCTTAATACATTTCTTTGAATAATACTGTAAATAAATACTACAATAAACAAATATTTATTCAATAAAAAAATGTTAATGGTTTTTGTATAAATAAATATATGTTTACTAAATATTTCCTTAGAACTATTTGAACAAACATCTATTAAAATTTTGTTTTTTTTTTCAGTGTAATATATTTTTTTGATAAATATAATTATTATTACTAACATAATAATAGTAATAACTATAAATTAGAGTCCCTAATTATAATTATTTTACTATATGTTATGTAATTATAATCACAAATACCAAACACTTTTCTTTCGGTGTAAAATACATGTCGAATGTCCTAATTTTTACATAAATTGAGCACACATATTCATCACATATCCCCAGCGATTCACCGTCGTGTCATATGCGAGAGCTGTTTTTCGAGAATCGCAAAAGTCATCGCCGCAAATGCGTCGCCACATAAAAAGCTCGAGTGTCACGCTGGTACTTTCGTCACAACGCTGCGAGACGACGGCGATGACGAATTCGCGGTGACGGGGATACAACGTGTCAGCGAGATCTGCGGGCGAGAGGAGACGGCGCGGACGTCGTCTCGTGCGCGTGCATCACGAGAGAATACGGGCGAATTTAATTTCTACGTAACATTACACCTTAGGAGCCTTATACCAGCGCCATTGTGCGCCTCCGGGGGCGGCCACGGAGAGACACTCGATCGCAGGACTCCATTTGCGGTTTAGCATAATGGAAACCCAACGCGCCCCGGGGGCCGTCCGCGTCCCCTGTCTCTCGACGTCTCGTCCTGTCTCATCCCGCTTTCTATTTCATTCTCGTATTCTCCCGCTGTTTGCGGCCAACGTAAGAATGGGCGAAAAATAAGTAAACTAGAGGAAACACGGTGGGAAAGATAACTCAGTGTTCTCTCGTTGTACCATTCAACGCCAAACACGGGCCGCTGGCCATTTCCGAGCGAAAGAACGAATCGTTCCGCTTCGCGGCTGAACGCAGGTCTCGGATTGATGTCTATTCAAAATGTGACTTTGCATGCAGACGTTTGCTGGTGAAAAAGGGATAGATCTGTCTACGTCTGATATCTCAGATGTTTTATCGATTAACCATTATCACACCGCGGATATAAATGCCATGTTCAGTTATGGGATACTTTTTTTACTACTAAGCTACTACGCTAATGACATTGGTCGTTCTAGTTCCGAGATATATTTATCATAATATAACGAGTGTCAGAAATATCCTGGAAATCACCCGACAAATGTGGCGTCTGCCGCAGTTCGATGGCCCGTCATTCGTCTGACGGGAAATCGATCTTTGCGAGACTCATTTATGTTGACGAAACCGAGCCCGTCGTGTCTTACTCCTTATCTTTTATTCTTACAGAGAGGCTGTGATGAGGGAAGTCGGCTAAGAGGAGCCCGTGTCGCGCAAGCGCCGGTAGAGGAGTATAGGAAAGATGCCGCTTTCCTTGAGAGTCTTATTAAGCCCGCTGCTGCTTCTAATCATCGCAGGAAGCACCGGCGCCTTCAGCTCCCGGCAAGGAGGTAAGAAACCTTCGTGTTGAACGACGTTTTGTGCTGGCGGGAAGACAATGACGATGATACCAACGACGACGACGACTAACGACAACGACGACGACGACGACGACGACGACGACGACGACGACGACGACGACGACAGGAACGGCGACGATGGTCGTTATGAATTCCGTCTTTTCGCGGCTATGACGAATTTCCACGAGAATAGTCGCGCGGTTTTATTCTTTCTCCTCTCTGTGAAACTCGTCGCGCTAGACATGCCGTTGTATCCTCGAGTTTTGAGATAGCGCATATTTCCGTCCCCACGGAGAGCATCCGACTGTCAATTTCACGCTATTTGCACATTCGCCGACAAGCGTGAAAATACGTTATCGCATTATTTCTTCGTTTATTTCATGCACCTTTCTGTCTGACAATCAGGTTTTGCGCGATGCGTCTTTAGTACAAAAATACTTCAACACAGTTTAATTTCATACTTCAGTTTTTAAACTAAGATATTCAGAAGAAATACAAGTTATATTATAACTCTAGATGCTATCGTAACGTAATTTTACGTTCAAGTGAGCGAGGTTAAATTATGTCTTCAGTGGTCATCAGGACATTCAATCTACTATGGCTAAAAGCTAGAATAACCGGGGATAAATTTTTAAAAATTTAGTTCGTTATATAATTAGTCAGTTTAGATTAGAGCAGCATATCACCCCTGGTGATCAGTGGATATTATATATTTTAATATTTTTGTGTTATATTTTTTATTGGCAAGTTACGTAAGTGTTATGAGGAGATATTGGATTACATATTTCATATCATATCAAAATTGATAATATGATTTTTTTTCTTTCCTTTTTAATAATTATTGTTTGTATTTATAAAAATGTAGATCACAAATATTTTATAATTGAAAATGTGAAATGTACAAAAATCATGTGTTACATTGTGTTCCATTTAGTGACACAAGTCGACACAAATATCGTTCTGCCTTTGTTACTCATGAAATGCAAAGAAAGATAGAACGACATTTATGTCACTTTGTGTCACTAAATGGAAAACATCCACTAAGAGTGGCTTATATATCCTTATGTGTAAAATTTTCATATATCTATACGTCAATAGCAATATCACTTAAGGTTAAGACTTCTATTCTCTGTCTCAAATTGTGATCAGATCAAAAACGAGAAAATACACAAAAATGTTTGCAAAATATAATAATATGAAATGTATATCAATAAAATAATATAATCGATAAAAATACTAACTTGTAAAAATATCGATAAGTCTCCTTTTATTTCTTATTAATTAATAAATAATCATATCTAAAAATGAATTTTGCATAACTAAAGATAAAATAAGCTATAGATCGCAGCTATGATAAATTGTCAAATTAATAGTATATAGAAATAAATTTTTCTCAGAGTTTTTGATATATTTTCTCTCAATCTATTCTATCAATTGTAAATGTTGTTTTATTGAAAAATATTTCTGTTCAAATGTAATTCGCAAGAATTTTTATTGTATGCTTTCTCGCTTTTGATGTTACAATTTTAAATAGTACTTCTGGAGGGAAGTAATATCGATGTATCACTTAACATTGATATCATTCTAGAATTTAAATAAGTTTATTTAAGAGGGAAAGTATCTCTTTTCGGATATATTTGAAGCATTGTATGCACGATATATCTATGTGCAGATCGATTTTTATATATTTTTCTTCGAAAACATGCGAATCTCGATGAAATCACAGTACGCGACGTAAGATAAACCATCTGCAGCGGATACTTGGCGCGTACATTTTAGCAGAAAGAGGAAACATATTGCATTTCCGATCTCTTAGCCACTTGTAACTTTGCACGTACGTGGACTTATTTCAAGGATCGCGGTTACTCAGTCTCGCGTATGTTGACAAAAGGACATGCGCGCGTATGTACACCACTCAGGACAACGATATAAGCAAAATATTTCCACACCTTTCATCTTCAGCCGGTATCATCCATTTCTCTCATCTTTCCTCTCCCTCCGTCCCTCCCCCCCCTCCCCCCTCTCTCTCTCTCTTTCTCTCTCTCTCTCTCTCTCTCTCTCTGCGATCTCCTTTCTGTCTCTATTTCTCTGTCTGTGTTTCTCGCCTTCATTCCAGCTATGTCTCTTCTCTGGCTGCATTTGTAGAGAGAACGTCTCTTAGTGACCATTTCCTAGATTAAGGTCACCTGGAAAGCAAATAGTTGTTAGGGAGTAGAGACAGAGAAAGATAGAACGAAAGAGAGGAGAGGAGAGGAACTTAGAGTAGAGTCTCACGGACGAACTTCCGGTGTATACGTTCCTGGAAAACTATTATGCGCGAAAGTCCGCTGCATCCGAGAGAAACTCGGCGCACTAGAATGTAGGAGCAAGTGCTGGACAAATTGTCCTACGATCCTCACGACTCACCAATGACGGTAAATCCTTCGTCGCACTTCGGAGAATGCGTTCGATCGATACGATTTCGCGCGCGCAGATCAGTGGTTTCCAACCTTTTTCAAGATACATGCTCTCTCGGGTGATAAATACTTTGAAGGCGCAGTCATTCATTATATTTATCGTTAATTCGAACATTTCATTCTACTCATATAGTATTCCATAGTACGAATTAAAAATTTCCTTTTTTAAAGCTGTATAATCTCTGTAAAAAGTGATTGCAATTAGAAACTTATAAAAAATATATGCATATATCTGCATATAAAAAATAATGAATAATGAATGTTACATATAAGATATATATATATATATATATATATATATATATATATAATATACATACAACAATATACATATAATAATTTAATAAAATTAATTTGGCATTTAACGATACAATTTTAATTTAAATTTTCTTATTTTATTTTAATGGTTTTTTTTTTAAACATTCTACTTCTAAAAACATTTACTTCTTATTGAAATAATACTTGCTGCATGTTTTAAATAGTCTCCAAACTATTTATATTACTTTCAAATACAATATAGAAAAATTTGTCATTTTTTCATAATCTTTTCATTTTGTTAAAAAGTACGTATAATTTTTGTCTGTAAGTAAATGTTTAAAGAAAAATAGTAAATTAATAAAAACAGAAACTTGTAACAAAGAACCACTCAATTTTCATTTAGATATCATTTAGAAATTAATACTTGACACTAAAATTTTCTGAATACGTATTTTGAAATTCATTGTCACAGAACTTAATGAATTTTTAACCAAAATTATTAGGCCATCATATTAAAATCATTGTCAGATAGACGTTCGAAGATTATTCGTTGTCGATACAATTGCTCGAGGATATGAATCTTTGATTATCAACTTCATATCGTGAACGCAATTCGCAAATATTTTTTTCATATTTACTTGATTATAAATTAAGTAAACTTCGCCTGCAATGTTTGCTTTTAGATTGTTGTATGAAAACATGGATATCTGCAATCGCTATTTGGTATCTCAAATAACTCCGAAAATATTTGTCTGTTATAATTTTTACGTAAAAGTTACTCTTTTCGAAAGAAATATTGAATTAAAAAAAACGTGAATCGTACATATTTTAAAATTGACAATATTGGAAATAAAATTGATTACGCGGATAGACCGGCAAATAGATTTAGAAGTCTTTGAAACTAATAATCAAATCCCATCACTATCGAACTTTAAATTTCTTGGAGTGAGATTCATTCTAAAGGAAAGAAATCTCACTTTTTTTTTGAGATGAATCTCCGAAAGTGAGAAATCTCACTTCAAAAATGAATAAAAATTTGCTACTCTTATATGAAGAGTGCAAATTTTTCATTTTTTTTTAAATAGTGGCAGTGTTTTAACTCTTTTTCTAGTAAGATTTCACTCCAAGAAGATTTAGAGAGTAATTGTCTTATCCATCGTTTCGGTCGTTGACATACTTAACGGTGATGATCAACAAATCGGATATGCAAACATGTTTTCGTCTTTATATTCACGAATATAAACGCACGATTTTCTAGAAAAGTTATTCGACTTACATGCGACTTACATCCGATTCGGATCAGAACCCTAGCGCGACTATTCTCACAATCTAGATAGAGCTCGTTCTTATGAAATGATGTTGATTAGTTGCCCTCGCATCGATGTTGACATCCGGCGGTAAATTTGTGGTTGTCGCTTCAGAGGAGAGAAAACGCCAGTGGTCGAAGATGAATTTGATCGTTCTAATCGTGACGCGAATAAGATTATCTGATCGAATTTTAACGGAGGCTTCGCGTGATTCCCGGCCGACGACACGACTGCAACGAGTCGAAGCGGCTTCATCGCTCGACGAAATGCTTGTAGATACTTGTACGGTGCGGATATAAGTTCGAGTGTGTTTCTGCTTAGCGAAGCAACGTGACGACAACGACGACGACAACGACGACGACAACGACGACGACAACGACGACGACAACGACATAGACGATCTCGAGTGATGAATTTACAGCATATAAACACGTTGTCCTAGTTATCTCGCTTGTGCTTTCGCGGAGCCTCCTATCTTTTTATTACGTTTCCCCTCTCGCTATTTGTCGCCTTTTTCTCCACGTCGCTGCTGCCTTATCTTATTAGCAAATTTAAGGAAACGCGCGTTCCGCCGTGATTACTTTTGAGTGTCATAAAGGCCATATGTCGGAAGAAAATTCTACAACTTGTATCAATGAATACTCGACATCTTTTATAGATATATTATGAAAATCGTAAATTCTAATAAGATAAATGTAAAGATAAGTTATATTTATTTTAATTACTGTCTAACTAATATTGGACGAATTTATTTACATTTGGAGATCTTTATTTATTTTTCTCAATTTTACTTACTACTTGATTCTGTATATGGAACTTGAATTTATATTCCGACAAAAATTCGCGATTTTAAATGTTGTCAAAATTTAGAATTTTTATTCATCTATTTTTTGCATTTATACTATATTTATAAATATCTGTCTCCTGACAATTTTATATTCTTGATCTCATTTTACATTTAACAGAGACG